GCCCAGTGGGAGTATAACTTGGGCGTGAGCGTGGATCTGGAGGACTGGAATAAGACTTGGTCGTTTATAGCTAAATGTTCATTTAATACAGCCATGCTGGAGGTGGCATACAAAGTACTGTTTTGTTGGTACCGTTTTCGTTGGTCCCGGCTCGTATAGCCCAGGCGAACCCTACCTATCGTGATCGCTGCTTTCGGGAGTGCGACCATCATGGAGATGTATTGCATATATGGTGGTCATGCCCGAGACTGGTTTGATTTTGGTCCCACGTGTTTGGCCTTCTTTATACCTTGTTCCATTTCCCCATACGCCAGGAGGCTCGGTACGCTTTGGTTCATTGTCCCATACCGGGCCTGTTGGCTCCTCAGAAGAAGCTGAATTCCTATTTGTTTTTGCTGGCCACTAGAACAATTGCTCAGGTCTGGAACGGTCCGTCTGTTCCTCTTCAGGGGGTGCGGGACCTTATGACCATTCTGATGCTCAATGAACAGATGTTGAGTATCCGTAATGACAAGAAACAAAAATTGTTGAAAATATGGGAGCCGTGGTTGACATATGCCTTTCCCATGCTCCCTCTGGCTAGTCTGGGTTTATGATGCTGTACGGTATTGGCGTTCCCAGTTCCCTGCTTCTGGTCTTGTTTTCCTTTCTTCTTCCTTCATTTTCCTTCTTTGTTTCCTGCTTAATTCTGTGAAGTGGTAGATAATTGCATTTGGCTGGAATTTTTGTTGGGTGTTATATCACTGTTTCACTGGTTTTATGTTTTCTATGCCATTTATAACCCAACAAGCGCCTTCTGCATTGCTGGTGTTACAGCACTGTTCTCTCTATTTTTTATATGCCAATGATAGCCACTGTGTGGGCTTGTCTTTTGCTCTAGTCCTTCTGTGTTAAATAGTTTGAAAAAGTAAAAAAAAACCCATTGAAATACAAAAATAGTAAGGCCAAGAAAAATTAATCTCAGCTTCATAAGACCGTTTTATATCCAAGTTACAATTATCAAGATGTTTCATGAATTTCTCTAATTAATCTTTGTTGGCTCTCCAAATTATAAAGTAGTCATCAATGAACCTCCTCCAAACCAATAACTCAGGGGGTCCATTTTTACTAAATATCATACTCTCCTCCCAGTAGGCCATAAACAGGTTAGTAAATCCAATATTCTGAAGCACAAGAGGAGGCCCAGTACCGTAAGGATCACATTAAATGGTGCATTACCCAGGAGAGTTACCACTGCTGCTGTTATCAGATAGTTGAATCCTAAAGCTCCATAGAAAAAAACAACGCTGTGGTGGTAGTAATATAAAAACCCCACTAGGGGGGAGTACCTTTATTGGAATACGCAACGGAACATAAAACAGTTAAGCCTGAGGCTTGGATAAAGTGGTCAGGTGGGCGGCCCGTCCACTCAGGGATGATGTACAGTGGTGATGAATGGAGTTGAGCCTGTCAGAAGCAGGGACCACGTGATCGTGGCATCCCGGGATGATGTCACTGCGATAACTAGGAGAAGGAGGGGAAGCCCAGCGTACTGCCGCAAGCAGGGGAGGTGTGGCAGTACCAGGACAACATGTTTTGCGCACTTGAGAATTGATTTTCTGTAAACGGAGAGGTAATCGGCCATTTTATGGGAGACCGACAAGCCGAGTGCCAGCCTTAAAGGGAGATGGGATTGAGTGGCAGGGACAGAGTGGATGGCTTGTCCCACCTGTGGGTCATGTAACAATTAAAGCAATTAACAAAGGGAAAAGAACTTTTAAAACATGCTCAAAATTGACAATGGACACAGTGGTGATGATGAAAGCTTTTTAAAAAGACATATAATCACAAAGTGACCTGAATTATTGTGACATGATTGTACAGAGAATTGTAACCATAGACATGCAATTAGGAAATTAGTGACTCCCCAAGTATGTGACAACCTCTAAATAAAATTCACACGTAAATAATGTTAAAATTGCACAATAAATATAAAAAATTATAAGAGCGAATGACATTGCATCATTACTTGCAGATTGTAAAATATATATATATATATATATATATATATATATATATATTGTGGGAACTCGCTTCAGAGTGGTAGAGCTTCTTCAAAGCACACAGCAACTCGCTTCTTTTTTAAGGGCCTTTTTGCCCAATTTTATTTAAAGGAAAAAGTTCAAGAAACACAAATGCTTCCCACACAGGGGTATCCAACATCAAACCAAACAATTCAGCCTTCTGGCTCTTTCAGCTATACCACTCTATATCTGTCTCCTACAGACTTCTTCCACAGGGTTGTTTTAGCACACAGCTATTCTCAAACAGCTCCTTGCTGATTTTGGCTTCCACCTCTCCTTGGTGGAGCCCTCCTGACTCCTATCTGCCGGGGTGGAGCCCTCCTGATTCCTATCTGCCGGGGTGGAGCCCTCCTGACTCCTATCTGCCGGGGTGGAGCCCTCCTAAATCTCTTAGAAATCTCCAGGCTACAGGTCCCAAAACAGGCTTTACAAACCAAGGAGGAAACTGATAAACCAGTTTCCTCTGCATTATGAGATCTGCCTGGAGCCCCTCAACCTGTATGGTTGAGAATCCTGGGTCTCCATCATGATTTCCACCGTGGCAGGATACCGCACTGCCACAAATATATATATATATATATATATATATATATATATATATATATATATATATAATAATTACAAAAACATTAAGATAGGAGAATACATTAAAATGTCAGGTATGGTGCTGTGTATAAAATGTAGAAGATAACTAATCTCCTAGAAACAATACAATATTATCAGGCTAGAATTAACAAGCCGGAGGTCTGTATAGGGTCTGATATTGTCAGGAATGGACGGGCCAGCAATGGTGGGACTCACCTGCCTTATTGTCAGGGCTCCCAGGTATGACCAGAGGTGTGTGACTGAAGCAGGGAAACGCAGACCTCAGATATGTTATAAACAATATAATTTATTAACACTAACAGTACAAACATAAACGCAGTGCAATACTAAAACATAATACGGTGCAAACAAACCAAACCAAACCACCCACAGATAACAGTATATACAAGCAAGCGTCGTCAGGCAGGCCGGGTCAATATCAATTGGGCAGGTAGGTACAGGGGGAGCAAGCGGAGAATGGTCGGGGTCACAGGCCAGGTTCAGCAGGTAGCAAGCAGCATAGTACAGAGGGTCAGGCAGAGGGATGGTCCGGGTCACAAGCCAGGGATCAGAACAGGTAGCAAGCAGCGTAGTACAGAGGGTCAGACAGAGGGATGGTCAGGGTCACAAGCCAGGATCAGAGCAGGAGAAGTCAGCAAAGGAACAGAAACAGGATGCAGGACAGATACAGGGCCCAGGACAAACACAACACCAAGGCAGAGTCTGCAAGTCTGGCCATCCCTTAAATACCCCAGTATCATCAGTTCCAGGTGTTAGCTGGCTGAAAGGTTGAGTCTCTGACTGCTGGGAGCACCCGCTGGCCAGCCCTGGTACTGCAGATCAAAAGGCAGGTGAGTCCCACCATTGCTGGCCAGTCCATTCCTAACACTTATGGGCTGCAGTACCAGGGCTGGCCAGCGGGTGCTCCCAGCAATCAGAGACTCAACCTTGAAGCCAGCCAAACACCTGAAACTGCTTATACTGATGTATTTAAGGGATGGCCAGACCTGCAGACTCTGCTTTGGTGTGTGTTTCTCCTGGGCCCTGTATCCTGTTCCTGCTCCCTGTTCCTGTCTGATTCGTTGCTGACCCTGCTCCTGATCCCTGGCTTTGTCTGACCATTCTCCTGCTCCTGATCCCTGGCTTTGTCTGACCATTCTCCTGCTCCTGATCCCTGGCTTTGTCTGACCATTCTCCTGCTCCTGATCCCTAGCTTTGTCTGACCATTCTCCTGCTTAACCCCATACGTTCTGACCTCCTGTTGATAATCCCGGCCTGCCTGACGACGCTTGCATTGTATGTACTGTTATCTGTGGGTGGTTTGGTTAGGTTCGTTTGCACTGTGTTATGTTTTAGTATTGCACTGCGTTTATGTATTGTTAGTGTTAATAAATTATATTTATAACATATCTGAAGCCTGCGTTTTCCTGCGTCAGTCACATACCTCTGGTCACACCCTGGAGCCCTGACATTACACCAAGGCCAATCCTGACCAGAAGTGGCTGCACAGGGAAGCCATCTTGGTTTGTTGATGGGAAGGATGGATCTGGATGAGGTTGAGTATTTATCTCTGCTAGTGTTTGATGACAGAGAGTATGCTTATCAAACTCTGAAGGAGTATCCCAGGGATGAACTGCTAGAATGTATACGGCTCGCTCGTGTTCTAGTAGATCAGGGCACAGAATTCTCTGAGGTGCAACCATTGATTCAGATTTGTGCAGAGTTGGTTTCATCTGGTACCACCGAATGCAGGGATGAATTTTTGCCGCCATTTAGTGCCGACCAGGTAGAGTCCCTGGTATGGTTATTAGAGGATGATGTGGATTGCTTCTTGGAGCATTATGCTGCATGTTCACCACAGATACTAAGAGATTGTATAAACGCAGTGCAGTCTTTGGTCAGACAGGCTTTGTGTAAGCTCAGCTTTGTTCAACCCATACTGCAGACATGGACAGATTTGTTGCACCCAGCCTCAGTCAGCCTACAAAAACCCAGTCCTGCTTCTAATCTATTTCCTCAAAGCTCTATTCCTGCATTCCCAACAGCTCCTCCTGCCCTGCTATCTACCGCATGTCAGTACCCTGTTCCCACTCGCTGCACCTATCCTGCCTTTAACCCTGTAAAAAAGCCCTCTGTAGAAACTGCTCCCTCCTCTGTTCCATCCTCCAGCTCTTCTCTGTCTCCAGCTGCTCCATTCATTTGCAGACCTGCGTTTACTTGCAGTGCTCCAGTAGTTAAAACCAGAAAAAAAAGCGAAAATTCTTTCCAACCAATACCATCCTGCCAGTATTCAAACCGGTGAGCCTGCCGCCTGAGAACCTGCCTTCCGTGGTTCAGCCTGGTGCCTCGGCACCTGCACTTCAGCCTGAGGTCTGTACCCAGCCTGATGCCTGTACCCAGCCTGATGCCTGTACCCAGCCTGATGCCTCTCTTCAGCCTGATGCCTCTCTTCAGCCTGATGCCTCCACTGACCTGATGCCTGGTGACCCGATGCCCGCTGTCGAGCCAGACGATCCAATGCCTGGTGACCCGGTGCCCACTGCCTTGCCAGATGACGCGGTGCCCGCTGGCAAGCCAAATGACCTGATGCCTGGTGACCCAGTGCCCGCTGTCATACCTGGTGACCCGATGCCCGCTGTCGAGCCAGACAATCCGGTACCTGATGACCCGGTGCCCGCTGTCGTGCCAATTGACTCAGAGCCCACTGTCGTGCATGGTGACTTGGTGCCCACTGTCTTGCCAGATGACGCGGTGCCCGCTGTTGAGCCAAATGACCTGAAGCCTGGTGACCCGATGCCCGCTGTCCAGCCAGACGATCCAATGTCTGACCCAGTGCCCGCGGGCATACCAGTTGACTCGGAGCCCACTGCCTTGCCAGATGACGCGGTGCCCGCTGTCGAGCCAAATGACCTGATGCCTGGTGACCCGATGCCCGCTGTCCAGCCAGACGATCCAATGTCTGACCCAGTGCCCGCGGTCATGCCAGTTGACTCGGAGCCCACTGCCTTGCCAGATGACGCGGTGCCCGCTGTCGAGCCAAATGACCTGATGCCTGGTGACCCGATGCCCGCTGACCAGTGCCAGCGGTCATGCCAGTTGACTCGGAGCCCACTGTCGTGCCTGGTGACCCGGTGCCTGTCGCTCCGCCTGGGGGCCCGGCGCTCGCCGCTCCGCCTGGGGGCCCGATGCCTGTCGCCCCGTCTGGGGGCCCGGCGCTCGCCGCTCCGCCTGGGGGCCCGATGCCTGTCGCCCCGTCTGGGGGCCCGGCGCTCGCCGCTCCGCCTGGGGGCCCGATGCCTGTCGCCCCGTCTGGGGGCCCGGTGCCTGTCGCCCCGCCTGGGGGCCCGATGCCTGTCGCCCCGCCTGGGGGCCCGGTGCCTGTCGCCCCGCCTGGGGGCCCGCTGCCTGCTGCTCCGCCTGGTGGCCCGCTGCCTGCTGCTTCGCCTGGTGATCCGATGTGCCTCTGCCCGGAGTCCTGCCCGATGTGCCTCTGCCCGGAGTCCTGCCCGATGTGCCTCTGCCCGGAGTCCTGCCCGATGTGCCTCTGCCCGGAGTCCAGCCCGATGTGCCTCTGCCCGGAGTCCAGCCCGATGTGCCTCTGCCCGGAGTCCAGCCCGATGTGCCTCTGCCCGGAGTCCAGCCCGATGTGCCTCTGCCCGGAGTCCAGCCCGATGTGCCTCTGCCCGGAGTCCAGCCCGATGTGCCTCTGCCCGGAGTCCAGCCCAGTACCAGGGCTGGCCAGCGGATGCTCCCGGCAATCAGAGACTCAACCTTGAAGCCAGCCAAACACCTGAAACTGCTTATACTGATGTATTTAAGGGATGGCCAGACCTGCAGACTCTGCCTTGGTGTGTGTTTCTCCTGGGCCCTGTATCCTGTTCCTGCTCCCTGTTCCTGTTCGATTCGTTGCTGATCCTGCTCTGATCCCTGGCTTTGTCTGACCATTCTCCTGCTCCTGATCCCTGGCTTTGTCTGACCATTCTCCTGCTCCTGATCCCTGGCTTTGTCTGACCATTCTCCTGCTCCTGATCCCTGGCTTTGTCTGACCATTCTCCTGCTCCTGATCCCTGGCTTTGTCTGACCATTCTCCTGCTCCCTGGCTTTGTCTGACCATTCTCCTGCTCCCTGGCTTTGTCTGACCATTCTCCTGCTTAACCCCATACGTTCTGACCTCCTGTTGATAATCCCGGCCTGCCTGACGACGCTTGCATCGTATGTACTGTTATCTGTGGGTGGTTTGGTTAGGTTCGTTTGCACTGTGTTATGTTTTAGTATTGCACTGCGTTTATGTATTGTTAGTGTTAATAAATTATATTTATAACATATCTGAAGCCTGCGTTTCCCTGCGTCAGTCACATACCTCTGGTCACACCCTGGAGCCCTGACAGATATACTTAATGAGATGTATGGTCATCTGAATACAATACAATGTAATGGACTGCTGATAATACATTCTTAGATAATGCTATGGACTTCTAAATCTTCATTTAAACCATTGGGCGCCATAGAGCTCAACTTGTATATTCAAACAGTCTCTCTCTTACACAAGAGGGACAACCTCTCATTGTCTATGAGGGTCCCTTTCATTATACATTCAATGGGCATTACTTCTAAAAGGCTAAACACTATGTTTGTCACATCCTTCTTTGATGAGTCTCCTGTGTTCACTGACTCGTTTGTGCAGGGGGCGTATGGTATGACCCACATACAGCACTTTGCAGGGACAAGTAAGGACGTACACCACATGATCAGTAGCAGATGTGATAAATTGGCAAATGTTATAAATTGTACCCTTGGAATCAGTGATGTGTGATCTGCCATGGGTAATAAACTGACAGGTCAAACAGCGTCTTTTCTTACATTTATAAATACCTACTCTATTGTCAAAAAGCACATTTTGTCTTTATTGTGATTGGTTAAGGATAATTTACTTAGGGCTAAGATGTTCTTTAAGGTATGTGCTCTCCTAAAGGTAATTTGGTAACGGGGAAGGGCCGGAGCTAATCTGGGGTCAAGCTGTAACAGGTGCCAGCGTTTGCATAGAGTTTTGGTTATATCTCGATGTTTATCGTTAAAACCTGTGGCGAACCTCACTGTGTTGGGATGAGCTCGGGTTTTAGTGCAAGAAGCTTCATTAGACCCACAGTATTTGTTGAAGGTTTTGTCAACCAGGGTAGGGGGCAACCTTTTTCTAAAAACTTCGCTGACAACACAGCACCTTGTGTACGGTAATCTTCGAGCTTGCAACTATTTTTCATCAACCTATGAAACTGACCACTAGGAATATTGTTTTTCCAGGCCGGGTGATGATAGCTGGAATAGTGTAAGTATGAATTCCCTCTTGTGGGTTTAATGTAGTTAGTGGTCCTAATCTGACTGTCTTCTGCTAATAAATTTAAATCTAAGAAAACGATGATAATATTAATGATGATGATATAGTAACAATACTAGCTATAAAAATAGGCAACGCTTAAAGAAGCAAATGTCTTATTCATTTACAAAGTAGAAATATAAAAGATTATAGAGCATTTAGAAATGAAAGAGCAGAGATGAAACATTACGCAAGTCCATCCTCTATGTTATGTATGACATGACAGGGCCTCACATCTAAAAGTACTCACAAACGCCACTCATTTGATGCCCTCTGCCCATCCTATATAGTCCTCTGTCCAATGAGCGACAATCCATAACTGATGGCGGTCTTTTAAAATTACCAGGGAATACATAGGAAAAGCCATTAGAGCATTACATGTTGGGGTAAAAGAACACATAACGAACATTAAAAAAGGCTTCCTCAAAGTCTTTCCAAACACTTTGCTATTCATCACAAAAAGATCCCTCTGGCCTTAAGGCAATTGGCATAAGAAATCTGGAAAGCTGTGGAGGGTTGAGGCTGACACATAAGATTATTTGAAATCACCTATAAAGTGGGGGTCTCATTATCTGGCGAGAGTCCATTAGTGGTGGCGAGTTCACTTAGCGGAGTAATCATACTCAGACGTGGACACGTACTACACAGATGAATGGTGGTGGAACCCTCCTTCATAACATTCATGTTCAAACACATTGATAGGGGACTTTTTTGTTTGTTACATTGATTCACATATCACTTAAATAAAGGAATTATTCTCCCATGCACAAAATAATATGTTTGTCATTGATCATATGATGATTATTTTTGATTTGTGATGCTTATGTATTTAAGGTAATATTCATTTTTGGCACACAGCGTAACTATTTATCTGACAGTAGGTTTATGTACACTTGGTATTAGGTGTTTATTTTGAGTGCAGCTGTGAAATTTCTTTTGGTTTACTTTATTTTACACTAAGCTTTATACAGATTTATTTGGTTTTATAATGATACACATAGCATTTATATACGTAAAATATGCGTAAAATATTTGAAAAATAGAAATGAGATATCAACTGTATTTTAATACATATTTATAATTATATATTAAAAGCACTAACTGAAGGTTGCCCATTCACAGAAAGAGTACCTGTACATTCACTTTACTGTAAACACCCTTAAACCCAAAAGCAAACATTTATTAACCTCTGTGGCAGTCTGATTATGTCAATATTTCTGTGCTCAAAGCGGTACATTTTTTTTTGCATGGAAATATGTTGTTTTTTTATTCTAGGCCTGTAATTTTTAGGAATAACTCACTGAAATCTGTCCTAATAAGAGTCTAGTAAACATCCCGGGAATGAGATTTGAAACAAGAAATCATAAATTATAATATAATCATAAAAAAAATAATAATATAATAATACATTTAATTCACTAATATAATCAAACCAAAAACAATGAAATTTGAAATAGATCGCCAAGTTCGCACATCACTGAGCTTAGTAGCAAAATCGTTTTCAGTGTCCGATGACAAATTTCCCCACAAATCATTATAACGCAATTCTGCAAGTGGTTCTAATTTACTATTGCTGTTTTCTAGCTGGTCTAAAACAGCTTTTGACCTAAAGGGACACTTTTTGGATGCCATGGACGTTTCTCAGTTTCAAGGCAGAAAGACAGTAAAAATTCAGGCAGGGCAAAGGACAAAGCACTAGGGAGAAAATATATGTGAAATGCTTTGATACAGTAATGTTATACTATGTGATTTTAGTGTATTTAGTGAATGTCACTTTTTAACATTGTTAAATTTCCCGCTGGTTCCGTCCCCCGTACGTCCCAACTCTCGCAGGGACCGGAACCTGGAAGACGAATGCCGGCATCGGCAGGAGAAGATGGCCGGGGACGCTGCAGGGAGGATATCGCGGGAGCGAAGGACAAGCTAAATGCAAGAGGGAATCCCAGAGCAACGCTGCAGGGTAATCCCGAGTCTAGCTCGGAGTTAAGGTTTTTGGTACTGAAAGTTAACCCCAAGCCACACTCGGGAATACCGCCAGGGAGGTTAAATTACAGCTTACAAACTCTTAGATGTGATTGTTTTATTAGTTTTTTTTATTATGTATATTATTAATTTTCTTTAGAAAAAGAGACAAATAATATCACATCAAATACACCCCCTTTTCACCCACTTCCCCCCCCCCCCCATGTCCATTCCTGTCTTAAATTCTCTTTCCCTTTCTGTATTCCAACCTATTTCTATTTATCTATTTAATAATTTCAATTCTCCAACTCAATTACCAAATCACCTCTTATGTTAGCGTATTTTCCTGATGTTTTAAAATCACACCACCCTCTCCATTTTTCTCTAAACACTTCCACTTTATCCTCCTCAAAATAACACAACTCCTCCATCTTATTAATATACTCAATTCTATCTATCCAGTCCATCGTTGTTGTTGGGGAATCCTGGGCTTGCCAATATTTAGGATTCAAGCTCTTTGCCACACTAAATATACAATTTTTATTGACATCTCTGTTTTGTAGAAAAGGCACACCCACGGATTCTTCTGGATTGAAGTCCCCAAAATCTCCTGTATATTTTGAATTATTCCTTACCAAAATACCTGTATTTTTGGACATTACCACCAAATGTGCGCCATCGTCCCTAATTCCCCATATCCCCTCCAACACAATGGTGATATTTCCTCTCGCTGTTTATGTGCCACACTCGGTGTACAATACCATCTAGACAAACATTTATAGTTTATTTCAACTATGTTCATATTTCTCACCCTGTGTATTAATTTTAACACTA